TAATGCGGTTGTTAATGTGGGTAAAGCACGGTCTAAATACAGGGTACACCATAGTTTCAAGTGCTGCGACTTTCAAGTCATCGGAGAGATTGGGCAGAATTAATTCCCCATTTGACTCTCATGAAAAAGAAAAAACAAGATGAGGCGCAAAAGTTACATTTTGCACATTGATGTTTGAATGCCAGGATATGATACTGACTCATCATGTGCTCTTAGGTCTGTAAGAGATAAAACATAAAACAAATTGGTTTTTCAAGAGAAAATAAAAGGCGCCCTCACGCTGGGAATCGAACCGGCTAAGGCCGCGCCGTATCACTTTCTAGCAGTTGGCGTGAACTTAGAGGCGAGAGGCGAGGCCTACTACAAAACTTTTTTAGGCAGTTTGATTATTGCATAATGTACATTTATATCCGATGCAAAATGCAAAATATCAGGAAATTACTTCTACAATTATGTCGCCGCCTGCATGAGACAATTACCATTGTATACATTCATATTCTAGAAGTTTCAGGTTGACACTTACCCAATGAGCTCATGTTATCAACTAAGATAAAAAATTTAAACTATATTTGGGTGAACTTGAAAAAATTCGTTTAATTCATTCAACTTCCCTATGTTTATTGACAACCTAAGGTAAAATTTTTTAGTCGGCCTAGACTGCTCCAAGAAGGATCACCTTGCTTATATTGTCATCAACGTTGCTCAACCTTCGTCGACGAAATGAATTTTAGTCACGCCTCTATCAGAAACTAAATTCTGCCAGAATATAGAAGCGGCTATTTAGACTCGACGTATTCAGTGAGTAAATTTAGCCGCTCTAATCAAGTGTTTACACACAAACTGCTTGCCCTCACAGGATGTTTACTTTCGTTGTGAGTTTCAGTTTTTCCGCAATGTATCCATGACAACTCGACGAATCCGCTCCAGCAGTTTACAAATGAATTCAGGAAGGATTTGACTAAACAAACAGTGTGTGCGAAGTCTTATGCAACTGTAATATCTATCGTGTATCCATGTAATTGATGCGCAATCATTGTCACAAGCATTGGAATATAAAAAACCAGAAATAAACCTTGCGATAAAAGTATCGTTAGAGCAAGATTTTCTTTGCTTAAGCAAGTTTATTGTGTTGATTTAGACACTTCTTTGTTGCTCATGTATATGATGCTGGTGTCGTCGAACAATTTCAACAATGTTTAATGCGCTTCAGTGAGAGTATTACAATAGATGTTGTTTCGAGAATCGCCCATAGAACGAAATGCCACCTTCTTACCCAAAACCTTGGTATGACAGTGATTATGGCTAAAACCCAAAGAAGGAAAATTGTAAGTATTACAATTGAGTATTCAGTACAAGCTATACTCCAGGAGAAGCAAACTAAAATCCTGTAAGATTTGATTAGAATTTCGGATACGGCTTTATTTTCTAGAAAATCGGACATCCCAGCGGATAATACTACATGCTTTCCCTCATTCCATGAAACAGGATGAAAAAAACTGACCATCTTAGCTGGTCCGTTTCCTGACGTCTTCAGGGCCAAAATCTTAATATGTGAGCTAAATCAATATCTTCCACGGCTCACAGTGTTCCCATTCGTTAATAAAACGGTCGGGAACCGCTGACTCAAACAAATGTTATCTAAAGTTTAACTGATGAAACCTGGGTGATGAAATTAATTTTACAAAATTTTAAGAACGCTTTGTTTAACTTTTGATATCAATGGCACTTGCTGTGATACATGGCCTTCGGTGACTCTTAAGAGATTGCAAGACTTAACCATCGATCGCTAGTATCTGATTACTTATTTTTTTATTTTTTTTTTTACACTTGGAGTAAACCGTCTTCAGTGTTGGTCAAAAATATCTCGGAACTGAATGTGGAACACAGCTGGCGTTAAATTAGAAATAGAAATTTAAAAAATCAGCCGTCGTCGTTCACGTTTTCCAGACAACGCAAAGTTTGGCCATTTCACGATGTTGTTTTGCTGAGGGCGCTAAGAAATTTATAAAGATTTATAACGCACGTGCAGAGCCATTGTTCTGCTCATTGAACCTTTTGTTTGGTGACGTTCCCGTTGCCGTTGCCGTTGCCATCGTGGTTTTCTTAAACTTTCTAATACGAGACTTAAAGCGCCGTCAGGTGGGAAAATTGGTTTCTGGCGTCGTATATAAACTGTGTCCGGTATTCTCTCAAGATTAGACAGGTAGCCACGCCTATTGAAATCGAACTACGAGATGAGTGACTCAGAAAGGAGGAAACATGATGAAATTTTTGTTAAGGAGGCGATCAGTTTAACAACACAAACGTTATTTCAAGTTTTTTTTTTAATACTTCAACCCAGTAATGAACCTTTTTTAAGCTTAAAAACTTAAAAAAGGCCAAGTCATCACTTAAAGTTCAAAAGGGGGAGCTGGTGTTATTGAATTCCTCTAAGAACATCTGTTCGTGTTATTTGTTACAGTATAATTTAACCAACAGAAAGAACTGTAACCAACGCACCAGCAATAAATTTAAGAGGGGTTTAATTTCCTGACAACTCCACCGAACTCTTCTTATTTACAAGCCATTGCCAGTAGTTTCTAAGTGAAGCATTACGAACATGATGCATCAAGAACGGAACGACTAATTACAAGATTGGAAATAATACAGGAAATTCAAATAACACGAAATATGTACAACGGAACGAAAGAGCAATTTATCTGACGATTTTGAGTACGGCTGGCATAAGAACGATTACCTTTTAACTCGAGCTCAAACCTTTTTTATTTGCATGATCCGCGCAAAAGTCAAATCTATATGGATAGCCGCGCGGACTGAAGCTAAGAGGGGATTGCTTTCTACGAGAACACTTTACTCCTATAAACTCAGTTACTTTATTAAACAAGTTATAATATTCTACCTAGGGAGCAATTCCGAGACGCAATACAGTAGTTATCCTCAATCAGGATAAAGATATTTTGGGACGATACAATGAATGCTATTTTCTGTCAGATGAAGATTTTCAAAGGGAGTCCTGGTGCTCATCGTATCATTTCATATGATTATAAGAAAATTGAAGAGATCAAAAGAATCCCAAGAAATAAAAACTGTTGCACAGCAAGAATTAGTTTTTCAAGGAAGATAAATTTCTGAAATTTGTTTTTATGTACAAAGTGCCAGAAAAAAATTCCATAGTCGACAAACATACCTTGTAAGCACCATGCAATTACCGTTAACTAGATGAAGGTTACCTGTGTAGAACCATTACGGCCTGGAAGAAAACTTTCCTGATCAAATTTTTTTTACAAAATTGAAATAATTCTTTACTTAATTTTAATATATTAAGCAGTTGCCCAAAATACATTTAATAACTCCCAGGAGATCGGAGGATCTCACGATCGCCAGTAATTGTTTTTTTTTTCTTTAACCGTGATCTAACCATCACCGTAGTTTTAACATCCCTTTGGTTGATTTTTTATGTTACAATACTTGAAAGAGAGGTTTCCTTTTCAGGCCTTTAACTACAGTACGGTTTTTGGAAATCGCGACCATATTGCGGGGTGTGCAATTTTCAGTTTAACATCCCCACTTAAAGCAATACTTCCCACGGTTAGGTGCACTAGTGGTTAGGATTCGGCGCTTTCACCGCTGCGGCCCGGGTTCGACTCCCGGCGTAGGAATGGTTTTCTAACTTTCTCTCCCCGTTCTCTTTCGACTTTTAGTAACCTTATTTCTATAACCAGATTGGTCTCAGTAAATCGACGCCAATGATAGACAGTGTCTGGTATTATGGTACTCATCTTTTCGTACGATTATAAGTTTACATTAAAATGCAAATTAAACTCATTTTCATACGATTAAAACACGACATGTGTTCGAAAATAAAAATTCTATCTATAGGTCATATTTATTCATGAGTCAATATAGAGAACTATTCCGTTTCTATTTGCTCGAACTTATCCATCATGAATTCATCAGGCGCGGTAACATGCTTTT